GCCCCAAGAGGTGTCCAAGCGGGGTAAGAAGAACCGAAAATCCGAGCCCTCCACCCAGAGAGGCTTGCAGGAAGCCGCAAGAGGCCCCAATAGGACCCAAGAGGCCCTCAAGAAGCTCCCCAGGGGGCCGAAGAGGTTCCAAGAGGCCTCCCAAGAAGGCCCGAAGAGACACAACTCATTGTTTTCAGTTCGGTGTTTGACGTATTTTAGAGTTTTCACTTTTTGGCATCCCGGCGCTCCAAGACGGCCCAAGAGGCCCCCAAGACCGCTCCAAGATAGCCGAAGAGGCCTCCAAGAGGGCCCCAAGACGGCCCATTAGGGCCCCAAGACGGTGCCTGAGGCGTCCACGACGGCCCGAGAGGGCCCCAAGACGGCCCCAAGAGAGGCCCAATCAGTGGAACGCGAACCCAACAGCAGAGTTTTCCGCTCTGAGAGGCCCACAGGAGGCCCCAAGAGTCCCCAAGTGGTCCGACGAGGCCCCCAAAAGCTTCCCAAGAAGCCTCGGAAGGTCCCCTGGAGACACACAGGGGGCCCCGAGATAGCCCAACAGTGCCCTCGATGCATCAAAACTGAGGCCCCCAGGATTCTTCCAGATTTCCTCAAGGTGGCCTCAAGTCGGGCCTCCACGCAACCAAGACGGCCAATGACGGCGTCAGATTGCAGAACACACCTTCCGATTGCCCAGAGAACCCCGATGATGCCCCCAAAGGACCCCAAGAAGCCCGAAGACGCCCCCCCAAGAAGCACCCAAGATGTGCTTCCAACAGCCAATTGAGGAAGCACGGAGAATCCCGGAGAAGCCCTTCAGATGCCCCCACGGAGACCCAAGAGGTGCCCAAGAGGCCCTCAGGAGGCATGACTGTGTCATGCGCCTGTGCTTTATAGCGCTGTCCAAGATCTTCCAGCGCCCCCCCGCCTGGGCTAGAACCTGAGCGCGCGCGAAGCGCGCGCGACGGTTCTAGTATTTATTTATATACACCTATATAAACATATGTGTAAATGTATATACGTATATTCAAAAACTATACATATTCACCTATGTATATGCATATGTTTGTGTGTAGTTATAGAAACATGAGCTAGCCATACACGAACAAGTGGGCCTCTCTGCGCGGCCCCCGAACGCCGCGCACAAATGGTCCCCCTGGCCCCCGGTCACCCCGACGTGTGGCCGGGGCGTGCGCGGCGTCGACCGCCCCAGGAGGGGCCACCGTAAGCCAGGCGACGCAGTCCATACACGTCCATTGGAGGAGGAGGAGGAGGAGGAGGAGGAGGAGCAGGAGGAGGGGAGGAGGAGGAGGAGGAGGAGGAGGAGGAGGAGGAGGAGGAGGAGGAGGAGGAGGAGGAGGAGGAGGAGGAGGAGGAGGAGAGGAGGAGGAGGGCCCCCTGGCCAGGCCCTTCCTGGCCCCAGGAGCCGTGCACACGCACTCCTGGTCGAGCCCAGGAGGGCGCGGCGTGTGCACCGCTGCTGGGTTCAGGATGGGACTGGCCAGGGACGACCACACGTAAGAGTGACCTTTCGCCGGAGTGACCGTTGGTGCGGGCCCGTTGGGGTCCCCCGATCGCCGAACTCGGCCCTGCAGTAGCGTCCTGCGCGCCCGTGTTTGGTCCCCCCGCGGCGGCCAAAAGCCGCGCACCAAAGGTCACTCTTGCCCAGGGTCACTCTTGCGTGTAGCCGAAGAGGGAGGAGGGAGGAGGGAGGAGGGTGGATATGTCCCAGGTTCCGTCGCCCCAACAAAGGGGGGGCGGGGGGCAGGCACAAAAGGGTCGAGGTTTGTGCGAGACGCCCGTGGCCCCTCACGGGCCTCCAAAGGTCTGCTTGGCGGCCGCCCGCCAGAGGCCTCGCACCTCTTCCGGCAGGCGGATCTCTCGAGCTCTCCACCCGCCTCTGGCGGTGTGCGCTGCGCGCAGGAGCGCAGCGAAGCCGCAGGAAAGCGCGGCATTGACAGCGTGGCTCCGCACACGTGACAAGTGTTACCGAGCAGGAACACAGCGAAGCCCCAGGAGAGCGAGGCATTGACAGTGTGGCTCAACACTGACACGGTTGTGGCCAGGGAGCCCCCTCCTCCGTTCTCAGGGTATCTGGACTGTGCCAATCTCATCTCAGGGGAGGTTGGGCATCGGGGGGGCTGCATCGACCCCCAATCGCCCATTGATCGCCGATGGGGGTCTGATAGCCCCGCCCCCCCCCCCCAGGAAGGTTCGGATTTGCTATCGGGGGCTCATCGCCGATCTATCGGCGATGTATCGCCGATTCCAGGTCGATGCTTCCCCCCCCCTTATGCCAGTCCCCCCTGTCGTTGCCCCGCCGTCGGCAGTCCGATTCCGCGTTGAACATGTGAGTCGTGGTCGCCGCCGGCGAGGAGTGCAGAGGTGGTGTGCCACCGATGTGTCGGTGGCGCGGGCCTTCGGGGCTCGCTGGGGACAGCAGGAAGCACTTGGCCGAAAAGAGAAGGGCGAGCTGCCGTTAGTCCAAAATCGGCGGCGAGGGAGGGGGGGAGATGAGGAAGGCCTTCCCAGAAGGCGGCGGGACTTCTCAGAAGCCCTCGCGCGATCTGAGGAGTTCTCTTGGTCTACGGGGAAGGGCTGAGAACACTTCTCAGAAGGCCGGTGGACGTCCGAGCCCGCTGAGAAGGCCCGTCCCTTCTCAGTTCCCCCCGCGCCCGCCGCCAACAGTCTTGGTATAATCCGACGAGGCTCGCCCGCTCGCGGCTGAAAGAGACTCGGGAGTCTAGCTGTCAAGCTCAACCTGGATCCTGGCTGCCATGCAGGAGATCGGTCGGCTTCCGGCTTCCATATCTGATCCCATGGTGCGGGGCAGTGCTGGCCCCGAATGCAGATCCTGAGTGAACTCGTGGCGGCATCAACTTCCCAAAGGCGCCGAGGGGTAGTAGTTCTGCTTGATGCACTTGCGGCCGACTTCTCACCGAGGGTGGTGATGCTGTTGCCGTGGGCTGAGGGGCCCAGACGTGGGCACCTGCAGCACAGTAGCGGGCGTTGTTCATCAAGGTTCGGTCGCTCATTCTCTCACTGAATGTTCGGAGGAGGACTTGCTATGGCTGGACTTGCTATGGCTGGTAGGATGTACGTGACCTGTTCGGCCACCCTTCGGGTGATAAGGAGGTTGTGTGGGGGGGAGGGGGCAGCTGATGACAGCTGCAGTGGATGTGATGGTGGCGACGCTGGTGACGGCGAGTTGGCGACGAAATGGCGACGACGCACGACGAGGATGCTGGTGACAACGCGTGGTTGCAATGCACGCGGCGATGTGAATGATCATGCATGTGGTATTGGCGATGGGTGGCGGCGATGCTGGTGATAAGCGGGCATCGCGAACGGGCAGCGCGCAACAGTAGCAGTGCATCAAGCAATTTTTGTTGGCAGAGCCTGGCTAGCGGCACGACACACCCGCGATGGCGCACTCACACTGGTGATTGTGCCACCACCGCAATCGCAAGCAAGTAAATGCCACCTCCATTGCTGGAGGTGGCACTTGTTTGTCCGCAACCCCTGTGGCGCGCCAGATGGTCCGAGGTATTTTCGCACAGCGGCGAGCGCCCCTTGTGGCGCAGTCTCACTATCAATCGGTTTTACCACCCATCTCATACTCGATGCCACCTACCAACCTCGCGACCAATGGATCCCAGTACCGATGTCACTACCGATTTCACTAGCGATCTTACTATCGAGCTGCCTGGGTATCCATCGAACTCGATATCAATCGGCCTCGATATCCGTCGATCCCACTACCGATGTATTGATCTCACTATCGATCTCACTCAGTCAATCGGCTTCACTATTCACTACCTTCAGATCTAACAGTCGGCCTCACTACTGATCTCACAATCGATTTGCCAATCGATTCCACGATCGATCCTACGATCGATCTCACGACCGATCTCACTGCCGATCTCACTCAATCGATCTCCCTTCGATCTCACCATCGACCTCCATAGGACACCACGGGACACTGCGGAACACCGCGCCACGGGATACTTTGGGACACCACGGAACACCCCCTGGCCACGACTGGCCAATTGGAGGAAGGAGAGGAAGGGGCATCGAGTCTTGTTTCGCCCTAGCCAGGGCGAGATCATTTCTTTCGCCCGCCCACGCAGCTTCGCCTCACCCGCACGCACGACACGACACCGAAACCGATTTCCCCGTGGGGGGCTCACTACGACCTCACCCCCAACTTCCGATCATCACCTTTCACTGTCGAGTCTCCCTCCCCGTCCTTCTCCTCCTTCCTTCCCATTCATGCGTCATCATGGTCCTTCCTCATATCCGTAATCTTCCTCGTCCTCCCTCCACCCCTCTCCTCTTCGTCTGCACATTCCTCCTCGTCCGTCCCCTTCTGTTCCTTGTCCGCCTTGCCCTTCGAATCATCCTTGTCCTCCTCCTCCCTCGCCGCACTTTCCTGCCGTGCTCTGTCTCCCCGTGTCCCTCCCCCACCGCCGCCTCGTGCTCCTCCTTCCCAACCCTTCTCTCTCCTACCCCCTGGTGCCCCTCCCTCCTCCTATTCCTTCCTTGTCCTCCTCTCCCGCCTCCCTCTCCTGTCCCCCCCCGCCTCTGACTCCCTTCATGTTATCCTCCATTTCCCGTCCACCTCATCCTCCTGCTCCCTCGCCGTAAACATTCTTCATCCTGGTCCACCCTCTTCCTCGCTTCTCCTCTCTCCGGCTTCACCCGCCTCCTCCACCACCTCCCTCTCCTTTTGGTTATCATTTTCATGAGTCCTCCTCCTCCTCCTCCTCCTCATTATCCTCGTCCTTCTTCTCCTCCCTCCTCCCTCCCTCCCTCCATCCCTCGCTCCTTTTCCTCCTCCTCATTCTGCTCCTCCTCTTCCTCCTCCTCCTCCTCCTCCTCCTCCTCCTCCTCCTCCTCCTCCTCCTCTGCTTCCTCCTGCTCCTCCTCCTCCTCCTCCTCCTCCTCCTCCTCCTCCTCCTCCTCCTCCTCCTCCTCCTCCCTCGCTGCTCCCTCCTCCTGTCCCCGCCGAGGCGGTGATGGCCCGCCTCATGAGGCTGCAGGCCGAGAAGCAGCGCTTCGAGGGGATGCTGGCAGATTCGCAGCAGGAGCGGCGGAGGGAGGAGGAGAGGGATCGCATGTGTGCGCGTGTGCTGAGCAATCTCGCGCGCGCGCCAGCCGGCCAGCCAGCCAGATATTGCCCGAATAAGAAGTGGCACCATCTCCGCCAGCCCAGTCGAACTGGCGATCCGATACGTGCGGGAGAGGAATCGACTTTCTCACCGTCGCCTAATTCGTGTCGTTGTCTTGTCCTTGCCTTCCGCTGCTGGCATCTCGTGTTGTCAGCGCGGGGGTTGTTTCCGTTGTTCACCTACCTCATGGGTAAACGGGAGCGGGTGGTGGCGAAAGTGGTACGGGCCCAATCAGAGGGTTGCGCCCCCCACCCTGCTCCAAGGTGTGCTGCGAGACCCCTCATGGCGCCAGTTTTGGTTGAGGAGGAGGAGGAGCAGGAGCAGGAGCAGGAGCAGGAGCAGGAGCAGGAGCAGGAGCAGAAGCAGGAGCAGGAGCAGGAGCAGAAGCAGGAGGAGGACGAGGAGGAGGAGGAGGACAAGGAGGAGGCCAAGGAGGACGACAAGGAGGAGGAGGAGGAGGAGAAGGAGTAGGAGGAGGAGGAGCAGCAGGAGCAGGAGCAGGAGCAGGAGGCGCAGGAGCAGGAGCAGGAGGAGGAGGAGGAGAAAGAGGAGGAGGCATGGCTGCGTTCAGACGGACACCAAGGCCAACAGCTACAGCTTGGAGGAGGAGGAGGAGGAAGAGGAGGAGGCGGAGGGGAAAGGCGGCCGCGCGCCCAGGGAGGGAAGGCAGAGGGGCCCGGCCTTCTCAAAGGGCGGCGGGGCTCCTCAGGAGCCCCCCGGCCTTCTTAGAAGCCTCCCGTCAAGCAGTGGCGAGGCGTCTTGGCTAGCCTGCAGGCCCGCCAAAGAATGTTCTAAGAATCTCTTCCAGTACGCAAGAAATGTTAGCATAATATTTCTGGTTGAAGCCCTCTCGTTTCAATCCGTCGGTCTCTTGCTCCCGCCGCTGGCGCTTCCGCCTGCGGCTGTAAAAAAAAAGCCCATCCAGAAAAGACGTTCACGCGAGTTGCCCTGGTCAGGCATGCGGGGCCACGGTGCGAAGAGGGACAGGGAGCGAGAAGAAGGACCAGGGCGGGGAGCATGTGCGACGAGGAGGAAGGTCCCTCCCGCTCCCCTTTCTCCCCCCCCCCTCTCCTGTTTGACCTCGCCCGTTCTCCCCGTGTCCGTCCCCCCCCTTTTCCTTTACTTCCCCCAGCACCCTCCCCACTCTCTGTATCCCACCCCTTCTCTTGTTTTGCCTCTTCTTCTCCTCCCCGTTCCCCGCCCTCATGGTCTTTGTGAGGCACGACTTCCCGTTTTGTACCTGGAGTGGTCCGTGCGTCCACACCGAGGGTTGGTGCCAATCAGTCGCGTGTGTGTGCGTGTGTTTGGCCGATCTTGCGAGGTCGGAGAGGGCACCAGGGAGCAGATCTGTTCATCGAGCATGCCAGGGGCGGGAGACCGCACCGCGCCGGAATCATATGCATCACGTTGCACTCATAAGTCCTCCGCGGCTTGTTTCGTCTACCAACAGCTGTTGTGAGCCATTGACCCCGACCTCCAGTACTGCATGCGGCCACAGCAAGCTTGCGCCACAGCGTGAGACGGAGCAGCGAATGGCGGCCGTCAACTCGCACATGCCCGCGTGTAGAGTCCTCAGATAGGCCTTGGCATAAAGCGACATGACAGATTGGACGATAGGAACGTCGATAGGACAGGTCAGCTCCACCAGCAGTAGATCATTGCATCGCCTGCGTCGTATTGGAGGCTCCCGATGGACAGCACGTTCTGGGGATCGTCTACAGAGCCGGGGAGGTGGGCGAGGGGGTCGCGCGAGTGGGGGAGTCCCCCCTTCGCCCCCCCCCCCCCCCCCACACACACACACACAACACAAGTATACAATCTGAACACTACTCTCCTCTCTCCCCTGATGAGGTCCGGAAGATGTTCGGCCCCCCTCCGCGTACCGTTTACACAGGAGTCCCGGGAGTTGGGTTTTCGCTTAGGTGTTGTTCAAAATGTTGTTCCCACTGAAGCGCTGGCCTCATTTTCGGGCTTCCGCTCGTTCCGAATCATGCTCCCGCTGCAGTGCTGGCCTCATTTCCGCGCTTCCGCTCGTTCCGAATCGTGCTCCCGCTGCAGCGTTGGCCTCCTTTCTGCGATTCCGCTCGTTCCGCATCGTGTTTCCGCTGCAGCGTTGTTGTCATCATGTCCAGTGCCATGCCACGGCATGCAACTCAATTCCATGTGGTGTTCCGTTGTGCGATGCCATGCTTTCAGTTGCAATGCTAGGATATGCAGCGTTCGACTACGCAGCGCCATTCCATGCTATTCCATGCTAGGCTTTGATATGATATGGAGTTTTTATTCGGAAGACCTAGCGCATGTTATTTTCGTCTTTCACCCACCCACCCACCCGCAAACATAATTCGCGTTATGTTACAATAAATGTTTGGCGGAATTGTGCCGACCCCAAGCGCCCCTCGGGGGAGGGCATTGCATTGGAACTGTCCTCAATTGGGAGGAAGCGTCGAGTTAGGGCAAACATTCCGTTGGGATTCCGTGAGTTAAGCAGGAATTGTGGCGATAGGCGGCCCCTGTCTTGGGGATCATCTCTGGTTTCGACAAAGAGGGTGGCTTGGGAATGCGCGATGGAGGCAAACTGCAATTTGGGTTGCCACCTGCCGAGTCGAGTTAGGAAAAGGCATTGTATTGGTATTCCGAGAGTTAAGAAGAAATTGTGGCTTGTGGAGCAGGAGGGGCACTTGTCATCAGTTGGGGCATTGTATTTGGCTTCCAAGAGTTAAGAAGGGATTGTGGCATTTGGAGGGGGGGCGGCAAGGTGGTGGGGGGATCGCGCGGGGGGGGCATTGAATTTGAACTGTCCTCAGTTGGGGGGAAACGTCGAGTTAGGACAAACATTGTGTTGGGATTCCGAGAGTTAAGAAGGAATTGCGGCGATAGGCGCCCCCTGTTTTGGGTGTCGCCTCTGGTTTAGACAAGGAGGGTTGCTTGGGAATGCGCGATGGAGGCAACTGAATTTGGGCTGCCACCTGCAGGAAATCATGTTAGGAAATGCGCTGTATTTGTATTCCGAGAGTTGAGAAGAAGTTGTGGTTTCTGGGTGGTGGTGGGTGGGTGGGGGTGGGGGTGGGGGTGGTGGGTGGTGGTGGTGGTGGTGGTGGTGGTGGTGGTGGTGGTGGTGGTGGTGGTGGTGGTGTGTGTGTGTGTGTGCGTGGGGGGATTGACATCAGTTGGGGTATTGCATTGGGCTTCCAAGAGTTAAGAAGGAACTGTGGCGTTGGAGGGGGGCAAGGGAGGTGGGGGGGGATCGCGCGGGGGAGGGCATTGCATTGGAACTGTCCTCAGTTGGGAGGAAACGTCGAGTAAGGACAACCATTGTGTCGGGTTTCCGAGAGTTAACAAGGAATTGTTGCGACAGGCGGCCGTTGTTTTGGGGGTCAGCTCTGGTTTAAACAAGGAGGTGGCTTGAAAAAGGTGGGTGGAGGCAGCTGCATTGGGGCCGCCACCTGCTGAAAGTCGACTTAGGAAAAGGCACTGTATTTGTATCCCGAGAGTTCAGAGGAAATTGTAGCTTTTGGAGCGGGAGGGGCACTTGTCACCAGCTGGGGCATTGCATCTGGCTTCCAAGGGTTAAGAAGGAATTGTTGCTTTTTGAGGGGGGTGCATGGGGGGTTGTGGGATCGCGCGGGGGAGGGCATTGCATTGGAACTGTCCTCAAGTGGGAGGAAGCGTCGAGTCAGGACCAACATTCCGCTGGAATTCCGGGAGTTAGGGCGGAAGTGTGGCGACAGGCGGCCGTTGTTTTGGGGGTCGGCTCTGGTTTAGACAAGGAGGGTGGCTGGGGAATGCGCGACGGAGGCAACTGCATTGGGGCTGCCACCTGCTGAAAGTCGAGTTAGGAAAGGCCTTGCATGGGAATTCCGAGAGTCAAGAAGAAATTGTAGCTTCGGGAGGGGGAGGGGCAATTGTCATCCGTTGGGGCGCAGTATTGGGTTTCCAAGAGTTCAGAAGGAATCGTGGCTGTGGCTTTTGGAGGGAGGACAAGGTGGGTGGGGGGGATCGCGCGGGGGAGGGCATTGCATTGGAATTGCCCTCAGTTGGGGGGAAGCGTCGAGTAAGGACAACCATTGTGTTGTAAGAAGGAAGTGTGGCGATGAGCGGCCCTTGTTTTGGGAGCCATCTCTGGTTTAGACAAGGGGGGTGCTTGGGAATGCGCGATGGAGGCACCTGCATTGGGGCTGCCACCTGCTGAAAGCCGAGCTGGGAGAGGCGTTGCATTGGTATTCCGAGACTTAAGAAGAAAGCGTGGCTTTTGGACGGGGAGGGGCAATTGTCATCAGTTGGGACATTGTATTTGGCTTCCAAGAGTTAAGACGGACTTGTGGCTTTTGGAGGGGGGGAGGCAAGGGGAAGGGGGTGGGGAAGGGGGCGGATCCGAAATTCTGTTCTAGCTATGGAAATCTTCTTTTTTTATCACATCCTTTTCTAACCCCCTAAATCCTTTTTACGAAATCTCTCTCTAATTCGTTTTTCCCATACGGGCTCTGTCGCCGCAGAGGCAATTCCAGATTTGTCTCTGGGATTCGAAATTCCTTTGGAAATCTTGTACCAGGCCCCTTTCTAATTCTTTTTTCGCCCCTTTTAGCAAATCCATCTCTAACTCGTTTTTCCCCGACTGGCCCTGGTGCCGCTCGGGCAATTCCAGAATTCCCTTTGGGGTTAGAAATTCCATTCTAGTTGTGGGAATTATTTACCAAATCCCTGTTTAACTCCTTGAATGCCTTATCAAATCCCTCTCTGGCGCCGCTCGGGGAATTCCATAATTTGCACTGAGATTTGAAATGTCTGTCTAACTTTGGAAATCCTTTGCCAAATCCCTTTCTAATGCCTTGACTCTTTTATCAAATCTGTCTTTAATTAGTTTGTTCTCCTTCTGGCGCCGATCCGGCAATTCCAGACTTATCCCTGGAATCCGA